GCAAAGAGCTGCAAAAAGTAGATGGTGTCTGTACATAGTGCAAAGGAGATGCTGGAGGAGGTGCTTTGTCACTTGAGTTTGATGGAAGGAGGCAACGCACAATGCTCGTGCTCACAGTGGAAGAGTATCTATTCAGAGCAGTTGCAGTCTGAGCCAATACGTAGGGATGCTGTTGGTACATTCCCTTCCTTCGGAATGATGTGGTTGTCACTACAGAATGGCACAGCTACGAGATCATAGGCGAGTTAGCTGCAAATGCTACATTGCTGGAATTAAATGTCACTAACTGTTACAGGGAATCTCTAAGCCTTAGAGGACAAACCTAAACCAGTGATCTAATTCCCTTCTAGCAAAGCACAAAGGGCCAGACTTGCTCCAGCAATCACTTTTATCTTGTGTTGATCAGATTTGAGAGCATTTATTCTAACAAAGCAGGTGAGCCAGGCACAATGTGCCCGTAATGATGCTGGAAGACCAGTTCCTCCTCTACAGATTTAGTTATCTCTTGTTTAACAGGAAAACATCAGACTGAGATAAATTGTTTGACCAAAGGAGTAAGCAAGTTTAGGGTTTTTTGACTAGAAAATTCTGTGTTTTCTAGGAACAAATGTGGGCTTACTGCAGCAAACCAGCTCATGGAATTCTCTTATCTTTATGCATGCAGTCACATTTTTGTCAATGTAGTAGTAATGAATAAACACAAGCAATTTGTTTGAAAGTTTCCAAGCGTGCCTCTTCAGGAAGTCCCAAACTTTTCATATGGGTATCTATCCTACTTTTTTGACTGCATCTATCAATATTTTCTTCCCTTTCCGTACAATATATGTTGAATTATACGGGCAGTTTGTCGATCTCCTGGGCCTTATAGAGTAGGAGGAAATGTCTTTGGTTCATGTAACGTTTAACTTCTAATCCTCTGTACTGTGCAAGTCATTAAGTGAACTCTGAAGCTTGTTTATAGAGCAGATGTGCTTTTTCTGTCATTAATAGCACCTCGTTGTTCTGTAGGATTCCGAGATACCTAATGCATGAAGGCTTTTTTGTGTGGAGCATCTGGCTTTAATTAAAAAAACTATTAGGGAAATCCCAGGGTCCCTGGTGTATAAATGTATTGTTGTATGACACCAAGATTGCCTTAGTATGTTTTTGACATGTTTGTATTTTGTCTGAATGTTGCTCTACAGTAACTGCTAGATTGTTTTCCATCCCTCAAGTATTTATATTTTTTTTTACTATTTCATTACTAATGCAGCTTTCAGCTCAAATCTCTACTTTAATGCAGCTCTGCATACTAAAATAGAAATAAGGCTGGGAGGGATGATGTGATTGGGTTTGCCCTGAGGTAGCTCGTCAAGAACATGTGTATGCACTTCAGAAGTGAGCAATGCAAAATAATAACAATAAATTCCTTTTCAGGTTATTCCTTGCCTGAACTTTTTCAGCCTGAGACCCATCAGGATTTGCATCCTTGGTTCTTTTTGTTGTCTTGGTTTAGAAGAGGAGATCTATCACTGGTCAGACCAAGAATTTACCTGAGAATGTTCTTTCTCTGACAGTGTTCAATAAAAGATGAGCGTGAAATACGTATAAATAAGTCTTCTAATAACTGATGGCTCGGCGAATGTAGCTCACCTGAGCCTAGTTTTCCAACTCTGATAAAATGCTTGGAATTTCATTGATACTCAACTGATACCTCAATATCTTGATAGGGAATTTTGAACTGATACCTCAATATCTTGATAGGGAATTTTGAGTTGATACGGAAGCAAAAAGATACAAGCACATTAAGCATTTATATTCCCTGAATACAGCTTCTCTGTCTGTTTTAGCTGCTGTTTGCTGTGTTGTCGGGATGGTGCTTGGCTGCAGAAGTGGCACAGTGCAGTATTCCTGCTTGAGAGCACAGGAAATCAAATGGTGTCCTGCCACTTCTGCATGTTACAAACAAAGCAACACAGTAATTTTCAGATCTTAAGATACAAAGTAAAGGAGGAAAACAGGGGGTTGGTGCCCTCGAGCTAATTAATATATTTTGGGCACAAGGTCTTGTATAGCGCTGTGTGTAAGGAGACTGCTTTTGATGTCATGCTAGAGGCTGCCTTGTCTTACAAGAGGAATCCCTGCTGCCCTTGTTGTTCCAGCACTTGGAGCCTTATAGCATGTTACTTCTAAAGAACTATTCCATCCTTCTATTTCCTTCTTCCAGCCTTGCCACTGTACATCTCCAGTGCCTGAATTGAATAAGCCAGTTTATCTAACCCTTCTGCTCTTGTCTGCCCACATCATCTGGAGTATGGTTGTTCTTATCTCATGTACCATTTCGCTGATTCTGACAACATCATCATTTTGTGCTGTTCTTTCTGGAGCAATAGGTGTGTGTAGATCTTTCCCCTGGCTCCTGAGTGGACTTAAAACCTGGGCTGAACATGTTGTCCATGCCACGCATGCTCTGTTATTGTAGTTTATTTACAGAAGCAATTTATTATGCTTACTGCAAGAGGGCAGGCAAGACACCCATACAGTGCCTTCTCCTTGGTGCCCAGCCAGTTTGCTGCAGAATTTACTAATCCATACTTTTTAGTGTCTATGGCTTGAAAGTCTTAGCTGGAGCAGGAGGAGGAAAGAGTTTGTCCAAGAGACTGTAGACAGAAAGGAGGTGAATAAAAGAATAGGAAAAAATATAGATACAATGGAGTGATACCACGTCAATTGCGTTTGTTTTTTTATAAAGCTTTTGGCTGTAACTCCAAGCCAAAGGAGCCAAGGAGGCAAGTATGGAGAAAGCTTCAAAGTTGAACTGCACGTACCCCCAGTAGTTTGTGGCTCAGAACACACATTCACTTTCTGATATCAGGGATCAGATTACACATATTTTCACTCAGAATTAAAGCAGCACTAAGATTGTTGATTTAGGTGGCTAAATTTGGCTAATGGATTTGTTGTCCTGTGTTCTGTGAGGACTTAGTGTTTTTTCCTTGGAATAGCCTGGGAGCTACTTCAATTAACACAGGAAATCAGATTTATTTATTTTTTTTGTATAATGCTGGAGCCTGGATGCCACGTAGGTTTTCTATCTGCCTTTGTCCTGAGACAGAGAAATCAGGATTTTGACCAAAGCAGAAAGCTTCAGGAGAACACGGAGCACAACATGAGTGGAATCTTAATTCCTAGAGAGCTCAAGTGTGTAAATGCAAGTGGTGCTTTTCCTACAGCAAAGCAGGATTTGATACTACCAATCAGAGATCAATAATTAGAATATTGTGTCAGTGTGCTAGATAGGGAAGCTATCGTAACAGGATACCTTTTTCCTTAGGTGCAATAAGTTTAAAATAAGTCAGTGTAGCTTCGATGAATTTGTTATGCTCAAAACTGATGCTAGGGTAGGATTCTTTCCCATACTGACTACAGCTATAGGAATGGAGCTGAGACAGCAGAAAGCTGCTGGAATGATGCAATGCCTCAAAGATTCCAGGGTTAATCCCACTGGAATAGAAAAACTAGAGCTGTATGATTTGAAAAACAAATGAAAGACAAACTCTGGTTAACTCTGAAAAGTCTGAAATAACGAGAATGGGTTACAGCCTTATTTTAACTGGTAGAGTTGTACCAGAGGTCACGTTACTCCAAACTTAGTAATTTACGGGAGATCTTTTTATTTGAGATGTTAGAGATTGTAGGATGCTCCTTAGCCTTCCTTGACTTGAAACTGCTCTGATTTTTGGTTTTACCTAGGTATTCTGACAGCCCCACAGATGGAGAATTACTGTTTTAGCTGAGGAAAGGGAAATACAGAGAAGTAGAACAACTTGTATAGGATTACATAGGAAATCAGTGGCCAACGCAGGAGCTGAAACAAATTCTGAAGTCTGTGTCTGATGTGTTAAAACGAAAGCTCATTCCTCATTTTAGATTCCTTTGTCAGTGTTAAGCTCAGGCAGGACTAAGAGCAAGATGCTCAAAATGGAGAGCCCTGGATTTCTCATTCACCAGAGTAGTTAGTCACTACTGAATTAGCAAAATTATTCATTGCCACAGACATCAAGGGAGGGAGGATCCCAGGGATGTAGGCAGGGCTTCTTTTAACAAAGAAAACTACATTTATGCTGTAGGAACCATGTTTTGAAATGATGCTTCTCCCACTAGGCAAGGAAGCATCATATTTTCAGGAATGCTCAGTAGCTCTCAAAGAGATGTGTGAACGGCTGAGTACTTGAAAACCAGGCCACAAACTAGCGAGGTCATCAGCAGATGCAGTGGGCATGCCTAGCTTTGCTCAAAGCACTTGGGTTTGGAAAAAGCAAAAGCAAAGGAGAACTTGTGGGCTGTGGCTGCTAAGTCAGCATTTGGAGAGGGATAGTGAAAGGTTTCCTTCCTTTGAAATGATTTGAAGTACACAAAAATTCAGGATTCTTGTGAATATAGAAAGGAGCTGTTGCTGCTTTTGCTTTGGCAATACTTATGTCTTGAGCAGTTACCAGCAGAAACCCTGGGTGGAGGCAAGCCTTTGGCTGCTGTTTATTCTCTTTCAGACGTATCATATGGTGTTTGCGCACTGGAGCAATGTGGTGTCCTCTCAAGCCCTGAAGTGCAGGGTGTGAGTGATTTTGTTGTAGTTAAGGCAATTGTATTTCGTTAAAAGGAGGCACATCAGTTTTCGGGCTCTGCTTCAACTTCCGTTTTCTTTCTGATGAAAGAGATCAATTTTCTCCAAAGCCCAGACAGCTGTGTTGAATGAGCTTGTTAGTTAGCTTGGAACTTCAGCTGAAGGAGCTATAGCTGTTACAGGATTAGAGAGGGTGTGCTGTGAGTATAGGCTTCTTCAGAACAACCAGCTCTTACCCTCCTTGAGAAAGGAGCACTTGGGTTTTGGTGCCTTAAAGGTTTTGTGCCCGTGACTGAGACTCCTTGTTAGAATCCATGAACGCTTATAGAAGCAGAAAAGCCATGTAAAGGGAAGGAAATAATCATTCACTCATTTGAAACTTCCTGTTTCATTTCAGGGACTTTCTGCCACGTGGATCTGGCATCGTAACCAGACGCCCTCTGGTCCTGCAGCTGGTAAATGCCAGCACAGGTATGTGAGCTCCCTTCACTGCGTGTCCAGCTGGATCGCTGTCTTAATAAAGAAAGGTATTCACTGTTCAGTGTGGGGAAAAAAATTAATAAGAATTTTCCCCAGTAAAAATGGCCTGTAACTGTTTTTTGTTTCTACCTGCTTAACAGCTGATGCATGAAGTGTTCAGAAGCAAAATGCTGCTTAGTTGTTTTAATTTATTAGGCAAGTCTCTATGCATACCCTTAGCCACATAGGCGGAGGTAAATTGTGATGTGACTCTTGAGTGGGTAAGACCTAAAAAGCCAGATGACCCTGCTGATAATTTACTGAAATAAAGGGGCGAGATGATTTAATGTACTGAAAACCCAGTGTGAGAGCTCTGGCATCTGGAGAAAAAGACTACAGAGTTCTGTGGCTGGTTTTTTGGGCTGCTCACTGGTTTTGCTACTGACTTACAGGATCCTTTCATTACCATTCCCCTTAAGGTAAGTTAAGATCTCATCCAGGACTTGGCAAGTGAATGTTTCAAGGTACTCTTCCTCTCTTCTCAGGTGAACTTGATCTGTCCATGGCAGTCCTCTTTTCCACAGTAAAGAGACAATTTCACTTGTAGGAGGCTTTTGAAATTGAAGCAGAGGGTTCTTGGATTGGTTAGCCCATTCCAGGACTGACACACCAAAAAACCCCAACCACCAGCCAGTTCAAAACTATGTCAAGAAAAGGTTTTTTTTCTCTCTTGTTTTGAGTCTGTTCTCATTAAGCAATGAGACTGTGTTATTTACCCCCAGCACTTTAATACAGAGCTAGTCCCAAGTTCTGAGTACCAGAGTATCTCCCAGTGGAACTGTGGAAGTCACCGCTGCTGCAGGCAGGTGCGTGCTAAGTTTGCTGAGTATCAAGAGAGAAGGTCCTGGATTATCACTTGAATGAAGACAAGTGAGGATGCCACCTCTGCTGAGACAAAAGCTGGATTGTGAAGATGTTGGGCTCAGCTGAATTTTCTCAGATGCTGTTCAGATAATGTGACTGCAGTAACTTCTGTGCCAACCTGCCAGGTCCTAATGGGAAAGGCCTTTACTACACTTCATTCCTTCAACTGTTTTTTGTTTTGCTTGGGGATGTGATGCTTTTATTATACTTACAGTATTTCCCCGATTCCAGTGAGTATTTCTGACTCTCTGCTTCTGTTTAAATAGAATATGGCGAGTTCCTACACTGCAAAGGAAAGAAATTCACTGATTTTGAGGAGGTCCGTTTGGAGATTGAGGCTGAAACGGATCGTGTTACTGGCTCCAACAAAGGCATTTCTCCTGTGCCCATCAATCTTCGAGTCTACTCTCCCCATGGTGAGTCCTAATGCAGCATCTGAGTCAGGAGATAGATGAGGCAGGTTGCTGCTTTGTCATGAAGTAAAGACAGAAAGAACAGGGGTGAAACAGGGAGTGTGCTCAGTTTTGACTTTCATCTCCATGTGCCTGGGCTGTGCTGTATCAAAATGCTATCTTCAGCCATACTGCTAAAACAAATTTGTCTGCCAGCTGAGGTACCTGACTGCTGGCAGAACTTCTCCTTGAAACACCTGATGTCTTTGCAGGAAGTTGTTCCTGAGGTTGTTCTTTTCTATCAGTTTGGGCATTACAGTGAAGATCTCCTGTCTCTCCCTGCCTTCTGATAATGCTTTACTGAGCAAATAAAGGGAACAAAAAAAAAGAAACTGGGGAGAGTGGCTTTCTTGAAGAGCACTTGCCTTTTTTTTGCATGTAAATATGTACTTTGTATAGTTGTCTCCAGATAGCACCTGTGTCATATGCCACTGATCTCCATGGAAGAAATCTGCTTGAACAAGGGATTGACATACTCATAAATTTGCCATCTCTTTAAATGTGAATGGTGTATGGTCATTTTTTGGGAAGCAGTGGCTCAGGGCTGCATAGCTTTTGACTGGGTAGAACTTATGCTTTTTTCTCTCTCAAGACAATTATACAGTTATAGGGCTACATATTGTAATCCTTCAGGAGAAGGCCCAGCTGACTCTGACAGGAGCCTCCCTTGAATAAGGGTGGCGGGACTTGAGCTCTTCAATGCCAAGGACAACCCTTAATGAGTGGAACCAAACTCTTCTGACTCTTCAGTCTTTGTTATGAAGTGAAAAAATGTACTGTCATCCCTTCCCTTTCAGTGTAGCATATGTGGAAGGACTTTGAGGGCACAGTTTCTCCCATCAGCATGAAAACAAGTGATTTAAAGGGAAGGATGATAAGATTATTGACAATAATCGTTATTGACATGACTAGTAGCAACTAGTAACAAGTTCTTATTAAGTGGTAACCAAAAGGAGCTGGAGAGCTCTGTGTGCTTTTGTGTGTGCATCTATTATGCCTATTATATATTGAAGACACTGAAGCTACAGGTGGTACTTCCAGGCCAGAACGTTCCTACCTCAACATTCCCTTGTGCTATCTCCTGTTTCCTATGTCTAGTCCTGAACCTGACCTTGGTGGATCTACCGGGTATGACAAAAGTTCCGGTAGGAGACCAGCCTCCTGACATTGAGTTCCAGATCAGAGATATGCTCATGCAGTTTGTCACCAAAGAGAATTGCCTCATCCTGGCCGTATCCCCAGCCAACTCCGATTTGGCCAATTCTGATGCCCTGAAGGTTGCAAAGGAGGTGGATCCTCAAGGTAAAGATTTCTTTCTTATTTTAGCATGACATTTCTAGACAGTGGCCTGATTTTTCCTTTTACCTTTTGGTTGTGATTAACCCAGTAGCTGTGGGCTCCTGTCTGTTGTCTTTGGTTGTACCTCCACCAGCACATGCTCTTCTGAGAGGTGTTAATAAATGTTAACAGCTACTGCAATAGAATTTTTGTTATTCCCCTTTTCTTCCTTTGTCTGAGACCCATTTCTGAAGAGGTGAAGGATTTCCTTTCCTTTAGTCACCTGTGTTCTGGAGAAAAGTAGAAGTAGAAAAAGCTGTGCTAAAATCCCTTTTTGCTGTAGCAAAGCATGTGAGCTGAGCTCAATTACTGTCTGTTTTGCTCCCATGGCCTCTTGGACATGATGGGAACTATAATGCTTGAGTTCAAGAGCCCTTGAATAGCCAAGTTGGAGAATCTGTAAGCTCTGTAAACAGAGGAAAATAATACAAGAGTTGCTTGCTTGATCAAATGTGCTTGTGTTTCTTCCATAGGGCAGCGCACTATTGGAGTCATTACTAAGCTGGATCTTATGGATGAAGGAACTGATGCACGAGATGTATTAGAAAATAAATTACTTCCTCTTCGTAGAGGTATGTTTTTCCTCATGCTTTGCCCATGATCTCCTTCCTCTATTCTTCCTGTGCGAGATGTCCTGGCCTCATCCCCTTCCTCCAGTGCATCCCCTTCCTGTAACATCTGTTACAACTTGTGGTTAAGTCATGTCTGTTCCAGGCTGGGACTAGGAATTTGGGGAATCAAGATCAGTCACACTGTTAATAGGAACTTTTTAGCTATTTATACCTTGGTATGTAGTCCTAGCAGAAGCATAGCCTTATGTGCTTATCTTTACTTTCTTTCCTTACTTCTTTTAATAAGGTAAGCTGCAATGGAACTCTTGTTAAAACTCCCCTTGTTTTTTATCTAAATGAGATTGCCATAGTATGTCAGATGAAATAATTTTGGACTGTGATATGTGCTGTATTTAGCCATAGCAAGGCACCTGTCCAAAGGACAGTTGCATGGTCATTTTTGTCCTGCATACCAAAATATCAGAACCCAGGCCATTCAGAGGAAATTCTAGTTTTAAATTCTTCCAGTTGGTTCCTAATAGTGTGTTGCTACTAGAATTCCCCTTTTGCAGTGCTGCCAGCTGATAACTCAGTCTGAGTCCCATTTATATTTTCATCCTTGCAACTATCTGATCTCTAACCCCACTCTTACAGGTTACATTGGTGTCGTCAACAGAAGTCAGAAGGACATTGATGGCAAGAAGGACATTCAGGCAGCTCTGGCTGCAGAGAGAAAATTTTTTCTCTCCCACCCAGCCTACAGACACATGGCTGATCGCATGGGAACCCCCTACCTGCAGAAAGTATTGAACCAGGTACAGTTAAGAACTGCTGCCCTATGTCACAAGAATGTCTGGGCTGGCCATCAGGGCTCTTCTGAGATGGAAGTATAAAGGAAAAGCTAAAAATCATGGGCAAGAAACTGATAAATACTTAAAATTGTTTTGCTGCATTCTTTATTTTGTGGTGCAGAGGTAGCAAACTCTTCCCAGTAACCACTTAGAGGTTTATTATCATCTTAAAACTTCTTTTTTTGTGCAGCAATTGACCAACCACATCCGTGACACCCTGCCAGGGCTGCGGAACAAGCTCCAAAGCCAGCTTCTCTCCATTGAGAAGGAGGTGGAGGAGTACAAGAACTTTCGCCCTGATGACCCTGCTCGCAAGACCAAAGCTCTGCTTCAGTAGGTGGCCTCAGCTGCATGTCCCTCCCTGGAGATGACTGCTCATCCATGACTTTTCTGCTTCATGCTTTTTGTTTTCTTTCAGGATGGTCCAGCAGTTTGCTGTGGACTTTGAGAAACGCATTGAAGGCTCTGGAGACCAAATTGATACCTATGAGCTGTCAGGAGGAGCTAGGATTAACCGCATCTTCCATGAGCGTTTCCCCTTTGAATTGGTGAAGGTACTGCTTCCCTGCACTGCTGAGAGCCACTTTGTCTTGTTTGTTACCTCTTCTGTCTGTCTCCTTGCTCCTCCTGGTATCTTTCATCTGTCTTTCCCTTTGACAACTTTGTTTCATGTTTCTTCTTTTAACACCTTTTTTTACTTATTTTGTCTCCTTTATTGGAGTCTTCCCACAGTGCTGACCTTTCCCTCAGTCCCTGTCCTCGTGGCAGAACTTAACTTTCTCTTAGTTAAATGACAGTATTTCTTTGGCTTAGTTCCTAATGGTAAATTAAATGTGCAAAATAACTTTAATGCAAACAATAGTAAATCGATGACTGCATGTCCTTGGAGGTATGTTGTATCAAAGCTACTTTGACTGAATTGCACATAGCATGAATGATGCTGAAACTTGTACTTCCTGGATATTGAGCACCAGACTAGACATAAAGTTGCCCTAATAGATATGCAAGAAGCAGGAAAGAGGTAGATGTAGATGTACCTGGGATTACTTTTGTCTGTCCCCTATCAATGGCTTAGAGGTGGGAACAGTGCAGAAACTGTTCTACTGTCATACCAGTCCAAGAGGATTTTTATTGACTTATTTGCCAACCAAGAAAACCTGATCAGAATTGATTTTTTTTTTTTGCATTTGAATAAGGTGAGGCCTTTTAACTGAAATGCAAAAATGTGTTATCCAATACAAGGCAGGTTCCTGTATGTGAGTTGTAAATCTATTTGTGGTGTTCATTGAAGAAACAGCTGCCAAGACCTCATGCTAAATCTTGGGACACAAAACAGTTTGTTGTAGAAAGCAATCTAGTGCTTCAGTCCTATCTCAAAGAAGCTCCTTGGGAGCTGCTGGAGCTTGGCATCTGTAAATGTAATTCCTTAGCTATTCATACTGGTCCAGGATGTCTGCGTTGGCAATAGAAGCTTTATAGCTGGACTCTGTATCCAACGTTTGGCCTGATATCTCATCTGTCACATGATGGTGCTGGCATGGGACCTCTCTGTACTGCACGCTGTTGTGTATCCTGGGGTTGCGCAAGTAAGTGTCAGACAGTTTCTAATGAAATTCTCTCTTGGTTGCAGATGGAGTTTGATGAGAAGGAGCTGCGGCGGGAGATTAGCTATGCCATCAAGAACATCCATGGTATCAGGCACGTATCATGCACTAGGCAGACCATTGGCTGCACAGCCTTGTAAATACCTCTAGACCTTCCGAATGGAGTTGAAGACTTCAGAGGTACGGTAGGTTAGCCAAAGGGGAGTGATAACTTCCTTGGACCACCCCAGTGGCTTGGGAGTAGGGAGAATCATCCAGATTTGTTTGCTTCCTCTTCCCATGTGAGAGTTGCTGAAGCCTAAAAGGTAAAACTGCCTCAGTGACTAGACATTTTCTCTCTCCTTATGTCTTGACATAAGAAAGGATAGAAAGAGGGATGCAAGCCCTGTACTACTACTTCATTTAGTTAAAACTAAAATGTTGGTTTTTACTTTCTGCCTCCATACTACCCAACAGTTGCTCAAAACAGTTGTTGATACTGAGCTGCTCCTCTCCTTAAGATCTGAGGGAGCATCAGGGTGCCCATCACCAGGATCCCAATGGCCTCAGGACATAGTTAGCAAACACTCGTGTTCCCCTTGGCAGAGGTTAGCTGTCAGAAAGCATGGCCCTGAGACCCCGAGTTGTGCTGCTCCTGGGAAGGTGTGCAGGGCCTGGTGCCCATCAGAAAAGCCCTTCCACCAGGCTGGGACATGAACAAATATTGACCTGGTTTTATTTTCATTCCTTTCTTTTGCTCAGTCACTAGCTGAGCTTGATAACGGGTATCAAACATGTTAGTGTCCTAATTGTTAAGAAAATCCTTCAGAAAAGGCCTCCCATCTGCTGCACAACTCTGAGGTCAAATTTGCTGCAGAGGGGTCAGCCCCTGCCACCCTTAGGCCTGGTGGCTGAGGTGAAATGGTGGCCTGCTCATGGTTGTCCAGTTGGGATCCACTTTTCCCTCAGCACCTCCTTCCTGGGAGGCCAAGTGTCCCCCACTTTCCATGGACTCCACTCAGGGCATATCTGGGGGACATGATACTTCCCAGCCCCATGTGCTGGGTTTCAGTGATGGCGGTGCCTGCTCCAAGATGTGTGTGTAACGCTGTGACATTCTCCTTGCCCCTTCTCCCCCTCCTGCCTTGTCTTGTCCCCACCCTGGGTGTTTAGAACCGGTCTCTTCACACCCGACATGGCCTTTGAGACCATTGTGAAAAAGCAGGTGAAGAAGATTAAAGAACCTTGCCTGAAATGCGTGGACATGGTCATATCGGAGTTAATCAATACCGTTAGACAGTGCACCAAGAAGGTAACCAGAGGCAGCATGGAGCTGGCACCTTCCACCCGCTCGCTGGCTGCGGCACAGCATTGTGACCTGGGCAGGGACTTGCCTGCAGCCACACTCGGTGTTTCTAACCACCTCCTCAGCATGACTAGACCTGAGCGGTAGCAGCCTGGGGCGATCCAGCCAACAAGCCAAACAGGAAGGGAAGCACTATGGGATGTGGGCCATGGCCCTGCTCCCTGAACGTTTTAGAGAGCTGAGGGGTGATGATGTCCCTGCCACCCCTCTGTCTGTAGCATGACTCCCAATTCCTAAACCTGGAGATGTCCCTGCCACCCCTCTGTCTGTAGCATGACTCCCAATTCCTAAACGCAAGGGTATTTCATATGTGGCCATATTTGACTTCAAATTTTTCCAAGCCAGAAACTGGGATTTAAATTTTGTCTGCTCTATTCTTATGGAAGTGAGAGGGTTAATCCCAAACTAGCCTCTGGGTGCTGCTGGGGGTGGTCTATGGGCTGAACTTCAGAGGCTGCAGCAGTTATAGCTGTGGGCTGTATTGAAGGGAAACGTTCCTGTGGTGTTTGGCTTGGTTTCTGGTTGGCTTGGTCCATATCCTGTTCTGGAAGAGCAGCACATGGCTGAGAAGAAGCAAGTTAGAAAGGTCCACCAACCTCTGGGGTCCTCCTGCTCTCTCAGAGAGGGAAGGGGACTTCAGATTTTGCCCTTTGGGATCCATACTGGTATTTGTTGGGGCTGAGGGAGGGAACCTGCCTTGATTCTGCCCTTGTTTCTGGGGTCAGGATTGTGCCATTCCTCTCAGCCATGGCTTGCTGCTTCAGGCAGGGTTAGGTACTGGTGAAAAAGCTCCTCAGTTAGGATGGTGGTATGGGCACTGGAGACTGGAATCACCACAGGCTATTCAGGTGCAGGTAAATGGGCATAGCAGGAGGTGTCTGGAGAGTCTGACACCATCTCTCTGCAAGAGTGGTGAAAGGTGCCCAGGTGGTGATATTTGCCATCACTTGCAGAAATGCCTAGTCCTTAGGGCCAAGAGCCTCTATAGAAGGGCTCAGGCTTGCAGGCATATGCTTTGCCTCCCAGGGCAGACTGGGAAAGCAAAGTGGATGCGGTGAGAGATTGCTCAGGTTTCTAGAGTGCTGGAGGAGCTTCCTTTTTCTGTCCTGCTGTCCTCTCTTGGGGTGTGTGACTGTGGGGAGCACCCAGAAAATTGCCATTAGAGCCTGGCGACAGGTAAGCACAGGCCCTAGGGCTGCCAAGTATCCAGAGTCGCCTGCTAACTGGATCAGAAGGGCCCTCCTTTTTCATGCCCTCTGAAGCTTCCCTTGGTTTGTTCTTCATCCGTCAGTGCTATTCAAAATCTCCCATTCATTAATTCTCTTTGCATCCTTCCCTCCATTTCCCACTTCGTTCTTCATTGTTTCTTTTTGTTTCCTCTTTTACTGACAATTTCAGAATAGACCATCTGTTCTGACAGTGGCAGGTTCCTCAGGTGATCAGGTGGTGGGTACAGCAGGGTAGGAAATAAGAGGAGAAGAGCTACAGAGATGGGGGCAAATGTCACAGATTCAGGATTAAAGCATTTCATTTTAGCTAAAATCCTACTGCTAAGAATTTGATGGTTGACTTCAGTGCTAGTTGCTGTGTGTGTGCTCTAGTAGCCATGGTTACAATTTTGTATTAGAGGAAACAAAATATTGTCATTCAGGTGATACTCAGGTACTGGAAGAGATATTTTTTTTAATATTTTTTTTTTGTGCAGGGCCCCCCAAGTCTGATGGGGGAAACAGTGTATATTGAGCCTAGCAGGGCAACTGGAGTAGTAGGAAACTGCTGTGGAGTCAGAGGATGTGAACTTAGCTCTGGAAATGCTCTTGCTTCGCTCAAAAGGGGCATTGTTGGCACCTTGAGAGAGACTCCTGGGTGAAGCTGAATCCTGAAACGTGTTCCAACTCTTTGCTGCTTAAAAGGCAGACCGACTGTAGGTCCTGAAATGTGTTGGAGTGTTTAATAGCAGTGTTGCTTGGGGTCTTGCAGGTGTTATCCACAGAGATGTGAAAGATGAGGTGAAGGAGGAAATATCTGGTTTCCATGAGGTGGTAGTTATTTATAGTTAGTCCTGGATTGGTTGTTAGCTGTAGGTACCCCAGGTTTGACTATTGGCTGTACTTTTAGAAAGGCAGTATGTCCTTCCCATGTCAAGGGCATATTGTCCCCATGAAAGCACTTGTGAAGCAGTAATGCCCAATAATAAGACGAGTAATTCTGGTTCTGTAACAAAGAGCATCCTCATAGAAGCTCTAAAGTGTTAAAGATATGCTAAAAAACTACTTTGTGTGCAGTAGTCCTGAATTGGATCAACCTTGGCCATATTTTAGTAACCTCAATTTCTGTGGACTTTCTGCTCTTTCATAGTGGAGAATGCTTGGTGTCAGTGGAAACTAATACTTTCTTATAAATCTCGACGGGACTGATGCGACAGGTTATCTGGGATAGAACAGATGCTTTGCATAGCTATGGATGCCCTGTAGCATGTTTGCATTTTCCTAAATGCTGGGTACATCTGTTCTTACCAAGGAAGTTAATGTTGCAGTGAAGGTGAGTGAGATGAAATATACTCTGAAAGTGGAGTAGTTTGTTCTGAATCCCTGAAACAGAAACATCAATTCAGTTCGGTTCTGCCAAAACAAGATGGAAGTGACAGACCTTTGCAAGTCTTAGCTTGGCTCCTGTTCAGGCTTCCTGCAGCTGGAATTAGGAAATACAAAGGGGAGACAACCGTGGTGGGAAGGAAAGGGGAATGCCTGATACAAAAGGAAATGAGATATGGTGAGGTAGGAAGAGAGGCGGTGGCTCACTGTGGCAAGCAACTTGATTCTAAAATCTAAATAAGCTTTCCTTCAGAAAGAGATCACTTGATCCCTGGGGGTTTCCATCCGTTCATCTTGCTCTTGACAGCTCACCATTTCACTGGCCCAGCTGCTCCTACCTCATTCCCCTTTGCCACTTCCATTTGCCTGTAGACTCTCCTGATACTTGGCAGTGCACAGGCCCCATAGCAATGCTCACCTGGTTCAGTAAACTAATGGAATGAACCAAAATCTCACTTCTCATTTTGCCTTGTGTTTTCTCTCTTTTCCCTTTTCCTTCCTTCTCTTTCCTCCTCCTTCCTCCTCTTTCTCTGCTTTGCTTTCTTCTTCCTCGTTGCTTCCTCCCACCCTGCCCCTGCCATGCAGAACGGGTCTCTTCACGCCTGACCTCGCTTTTGAAGCCATAGTGAAAAAGCAGGTGCAGAAGTTGAAGGAGCCGAGTCTGAAGTGTGTGGATATGGTAGTGAGTGAGCTCACATCCACCATCAGAAAGTGTAGCGAAAAGGTAAAGAAACAAAAAATGCAAAGAAAGGTCAACGCCCATCCCATTCCCACACACTTCCATGCTGTTTCTCCACACGCAGCCCAGGAACTCCAGCAAACCTAGTGAGAGAAAATGGATATAAAGATTCATCTAAAGGAGAGCAGCAACCTGCAGGCATAAGGGCAGTTTAAAAGCAGGCTGGGAGAAGTGAGCATCAGCTGATGGGCTCTTTAGCTGAGAAGTGAGCTGGGATCCAGCAGATTACTTTATCACACCCTTTTTTTCTGCCTGGCTCAGTGTCATCCACCTCAGTGTGGATCAAACTCTTTGCAAGCCCTGCTTGCTGTGCCACTGCTTGCACATTTGGAACTTCTTACTTGTTTTTTTCAGGGACCCCCTTAAAATCCAGATGCCCTAGAAAAAGATCTTGCATCCCCACAGCGTTAGTGGTCTGCAGGTTTCATCTTGACTGCAGAACGATGTTGAGCAGTAGCACATACAAAACAACAGTCAGTTGAAAGTTTGAGGCTCAAGATGTTCTGCAAGAGGTATTTGGAGTAAACAGAACATTGCTGTCCCAAAAGGCTTAGGGAAAAGTTTTTCCAGGCATTACACCCTCTGCATCATTCTCCTGCTGATCTCTCACTCCATGGGCTGTGCTCAGTGGGAGGTAGTGTGGATGCTGTTCCTTGTGTGCTGTGACCCACAGGAGGTGAAGCTTTAGGCGAGCAGAGAGCAGCAGCAGGGGGAGAGGGAAACTGTCCTGAGTGACGTGGAGGGTGTCAAATACTTCTTAGAGGCTGGGGCAGGAGTGGGTTTCTTTCCCAGGCTGGTTTCTTCCAGGAGGGGGCACCACATTCCTCCTTTAAAAAAAAAAAAGCCACAGTTGTGGCAATTGGTGTTAATCTTAGCAGTGAGGGGCCAGAAACATGTCTGTGGCACAACAGAAATATGTTCTGGAACCTGAGTTGGAAAGGGCTGTTTCGCGGGTTATTTTAGAACTTGAAAATAACAGTTCTCTTCTTAGAAAGTTATAGCCAGACTCACCAACATGTGCCCTTAACTGGGAAGGAAGGGAAGGTAAGAGTTGCCGTGAGTTCAGGGTGAAGGCAAGAGCTGAGCTGATAAAGTCTGGTTGTACTTAGGAACACAGAGCTCACCTCTGCCTCTGTTAAGGAGACATCCTTCTCATGCCCCAAGCTCTGCCCAATCTATTTCTTTCAGAGTCCTGCTGTTGCCAGATTGTGGGGGCTGATGTGGTGAGGCACAGAAATTCCTTTCCAGCCTGTTTCTCTTCTTGGTGGTTTGGTGGGGGTTTTTTATTATTTTGTGTTGATGGGATTGATGGAAGGTAAGAGTTGCCGTGAGTTCAGGGTGAAGGCAAGAGCTGAGCTGATAAAGTCTGGTTGTACTTAGGAACACAGAGCTCACCTCTGCCTCTGTTAAGGAGACATCCTTCTCATGCCCCAAGCTCTGCCCAATCTATTTCTTTCAGAGTCCTGCTGTTGCCAGATTGTGGGGGCTGATGTGGTGAGGCACAGTAACCCCTTTCCAGCCTGTTTCTCCTCTTGGTGGTTTGGTGGGGTTTTTTTATTATTTTGTGTTGATGGGATTGATTCTTAACACTATTAACTGTATCTGGCTGGAGGTGTTTGCTCTGGGTGGGGAGGGAGAAAGATCACAAAAACCAGTTTCTCTGTTGGACCATGCCATTAGATTGGCTGGACACCCACTTGCTCAGTGGATTTTAATCAGTGATATGGTGGAGGACCCTGTGGGGATGTTCCAAGGTGTGACGTAAGGTGTTCCAAGGTATATCCTGTAAGGAAGGTGATAGTAGCAGTGACTTTGTAGGAGACTAATGGCTGTAATAAAACCTGGAGAGGCCAGGGAGGCAGATGTTAGGGATGGAAAATAACTGCCTGAATTAAAATATGTAGCAATAGTACCGGAAAATGAAAGGAAGGCTGTAGTAGTGCTGAAAGTCAAATATAGACATGTAATGAGAAGGTTAATCCTGCCTGTATCTCCCTCTGAAAGAGTAGAAGGTAACAAGGTAACTGCCATAGACCACTTTAGGATAGCAGCCAGCCTGAGAATGGGTTCTGATGGTGTAAGGTAGTAACAGCACAGGGGCATTAGTTCTGTTGTGATATTTATCTTGCATGTTATAGCCCTAACTGCTTGACGTGGACAAGAGCATGTGCTATTAGGGGAAGCATCTGGAAAAGGCTACTTTAGGACTGATGCTAATTGTAAGGTAATACCCAGCCTGCTGTGTCATGGACTGATGCTGCATTTTTGATGACAAAAACAAACCTTTAAACTCACCAGAAGTCCTGCAAGGCTTTTTGAAAGGAAGTCCGTTTGGGCTAACACCTCTTGAATTAGCTTAACAGTCCTGTAGCCTTGGTTTGTTGCTGTCCTGAAATATTGTGTGTTACTGTTTGTGTGCTGCCACAATTATTTCGTTTCACCCCAGATGGTGAAGAAATCTTTGTACGTGCAGTTGATAAAGCTGCATAGATGGAATAATATGAGACTATTAATAAAGAACACAGGAGACAGACCCATCTGTTTGTTGTGTGCTACAGAAGTACAGCTTTCCTGTATGAAGAGATTTGCAGTTGACTGTCTCTTGACTATTAGACAAAGTTGAGGGCTGAAGAGAGGGTAGCCATTAAGAGCTGTTCTGACTGGCCTGATTCTGAGTTTCTACCAGTTGGTTAATGGAGAGTAGCTCCAAAATCAACATAAAGCTGGTGTACGCATGCAAGCCCTTACACTGAGGAGGACAGTGTTCTAGCCAGTGTTTTTCCAAAAGCAGGAACCTTCTGTGCCAGACTGCACTGCAGCATCTCACAAGTGCAGGAAGGTCTTGCAAGTCAGCAACCCTTCAGCTAAAAGTTGATCTCTGGTGTGCTGGCAAGGACTCCTGGAATCTGCAAAGAGGGGAACTAAGGAACATTGGGACAAATTGGTTTTCAGAGGGCTGTAAACTTGTATTTTGATTAAACAGGCAAATGCAGCTAAAACAGGATCGAAAACCCGCTTGAGCTGGGACACGATCCCAGGCTGACAGACTATATCCCCTTGAAGGGTCGCCTGCTCTCCTGTCTTTCAGAGTCATGGCATTTCTGGGTGCTGTTTGTACAGCTGGTGATAACTCCTTGCCCCTCTATGCCCAATTGCACGTTCCCTGGTGGTGTGACACTCTGTGGCTTGTCTGTGTCCTTTTTCCTTGCCCACTCCTGCTTCTCCTGTGCATGCTTGGGGTTGGAAGCTCCTGCATGGGGACTGATGCTGTCAATTTATTTTTGCACATGAATGTTGCTGGATGACCTGGGTTCTGAATCAATCACAACTTATTTTGCACTTTGTGTGCATTTGTACTGGTTGGGAGTGGGATGATAGGGGGGAGACTTCTGTGGTTTTTTGTTTGACTGTTTTTTTTAATTTGAAGCAAAGAAGCTGAGACTTGCTTAGAGGTTTTCCAACTTCCTGTTTTTCTGTTTTGACATAACTTGCCCATCTATCCTTTGCCAACCCCCCAAAGGAAACAGGAAGCGTTGCCTGTGTGTCTCTGAAGCAACCAGCTGCCTGAACCATAAAAATCATGGAGAACACCCAGTTTGTACTTTCAAGACAAGGTGGTGGGGAGAACACAAATTCCACTTGTGGGTTGTTTTTTTTCCCTTGCCTGTGTAGGGTCATTGGCATTCAAAACAAAGCACACGTTTGAAAATATAGTGTCAAAGCTAGTCCTCAATTTCAGATTCCGGCTACTGCAACTCTCTTGACAGCAAGGGTGCTGAAAGGATTTGAGGCTATTTGTAGTCAGATGTTAGGAATATTTTTACTGGTTAGTATAGAATCTGGCTTCTGCTAGTGATGCTGAACACTTTCAGCCATTTCCTTCTAGTATGTTATAATTCCTTATGTATACAGAACAAAAGGGCTAACCAGTTTAGGAAGGAGCTCTCATGTAAATTGGAGGAACAAAACAAATGCAGTGCATATAGTAGGCAAATGAGATTTCTTTTTGTACACCACCTTGAGGGAATATAAAAGGCTCATATTAGGAAATGCTGTTTGACATTCTAGTCAAATCGAGGGTAATATTATAAAAAGAAAAGGAAATTATGGAAATTATTTCAGAGGGGATAGGTGAAGTGGGGAAGAAAGGGCTGAATGCTGGGTCTGGAGGATTAATTTCATTTGACTGTGCTGGGCCTGACCTGAGGAATGTACAGCTACTGCTACTGAAATCACTAGAGGTTTATCAATCTAGGCAAGTAGGTAGGTGCTGTGTGAAACCCCAAGGGCTTTAAGGGTGCTCTTTTGGAAGGGTTTCTCATGTATAATCTCTGGAGATAGTCTTCTTTTGAACCACAGCTAGTGAAGTCCTACTTCTGTCTGGGCAGGAGAGGATTCCCTTCTCAATAACATGGCAAAAAGTGTGGTGTAGGTGCGATGTGAGTAACAGACCTTAACTATGTCATCCTGCCCTAGCACAGGGGGTGATGAGTGGGTAGGAGCAACTGGATGCCCAGAACGCAGTGTTTCTTGAAGAGATGTCCTCTTGAGTTGGTCAGATCCTCTGCCTTTGCTAGCAGATGTTGATGGAGAGGGGCAGATGTTTACACTTAATGCTTCAGCAAATGGAGATTGAAATCCACTTCACTTTCCAGGGAGACTTCCCATAGGATTTAGCAGGTTGTAGCAACAGGCCATTCATCTGCTTAGCCTACTACAGTGACATGCTGAACATCTAGAGAAACTGTTCACTTTAATGGGGAAAAACCCAACAAGGAATAAGCAACGTATTTACATCTGGGGTTTGTCAAGAGCCTCATGCCAGGAAGAATGTGATGGGTGCGGAGCAGGTCTCTGGTGAGGCAGAAAGGTTGCTGCAAGAGTGAAAAGGACTTTTCTCTGAAGCCCAAAGCAAGAGAGAATGAACCTTGCCCCCAACAGACCTCCAGGAACTTGGAAAAAAATCTCTCTGCAAGTCCAACTTTCTAGAACTTCCCTTGAAAATATCTGATTGCGGGGTGTATGTGTGCATGCATGCATACATGTGGGGGGCTGCTCCCCCCTTATGCCTCCCTTTCCCATGTGCACGTGCTTTCTCTCTCTTGCAGCTCAGCCAATACCCCCATCTGCGTGAGGAGATGGAGAGGATTGTTACTACTCACATTCGTGAGAGAGAAGGCAGGACCAAAGATCAGGTAAGGGATCAGGAGTGTGTGTAAGAGGGGAGGTTGGGTGGAGTGGGGGACACCTTTGAAGGGACAGTCTAGGCTAGAGTGACCTGAGCCAAAGGGTGTCTGGCCACAGAGGGCTGATCAGATGAAAAATGTACAGGGCTCTGTCTGCCCCTGACTATTAGCAGCGTCAGTCACTAATGTCTGTTTTCCTCTGTCTGTGCTTCTCTTTGGCAGGTCATGCTTCTAATAGACATTGAGCTGGCTTACATGAACACAAACCATGAGGATTTCATTGGCTTTGCCAAGTAAGCACCTGCATCCTATTGCCTCCTCTTCTCTGCATGTGTTTCCTGTGGCTCTGTCCTATAGATGCTCCAATAAATGGGTTGCAGAGGCCCTGGTGCAGATGCTGTGGTCCCAAAGTATGGTTCAGCTCTCAGTATTGCTTGGTTTTCGGTGGCCTCTGTATTGCAAAGCTGGGGAGGAGAATAGGGATGTGTAGAAGGGGGAGTTAGAGTATTAGGGTTGTGTTGGGAGGGGAAACAGCAGAAGCTGTAAAGAGTTACTGACCCAAGAGTGGTTCAGGTGGGAGTGAGAAGATGAGTAGACCAGGCTGAGAGAGCAGATGGAAATATATTGGGTTATCAAGGCTTGGAAGCCAGTGGCTATCTGATGGGAGCAGGATTCAGATGATCAAGAAGAACTTGAGGGGTTTTGAATGTCTCTGCTGTTATTTGCAGCGCTCAGCAGAGGAGCAGCCAGATGAGCAAGAAGAAGGCAGCTGGCAACCAGGTAGGCAAAGTTTCATCTCCTTCACTGCTGCAAGAAGGACATGTTTGCTACCTGGAAGCTACCAGGTGGACAAGTGCTGGGTTGGATGCAGCAGTGCTCAAAGTTGTGGTTTTTTTTACTCATTAAACTGTTTATACCTGGAGAATAGTGTTTAGGCTAACTGCAGCCAGGAAGAACTCAACATGTAGGAGCAATGGAGGGAAAGTGTTGTAGAGGGAAATGGATGCTCGATAATCGAGATCTGGTCTTGCTTTTCTGGTACCAATCTAGTGGGAGGTAACCCTGCCTATGGCAGGGGGGTTGGAACCAATGATCTTTAGGGGCCCTTCCAACTCTACCATTCTATGATTCTATTAATGTGTAAATCAGCCCCTTCACAGGCTGTGCTAACTCTTCTGCTGAGCCGAGGGGTACAGAACACTGGGTCTGAACTGTTACAGCACAGGATTGTCTTTTCTAGTTGTCTTTCCCATCAGTGGTATCTACTTTCTGGAAGGGGATTTAAAGAGGGTTCATGGACTCTCTTCTGGAGAACTTCACTGGAAATACTTAAACCTCTGTACAGGGAGACAAAGGGTGATTATGGCCATGGTTGCACTGGGTATGTATGAGAACACACCTGTGGGAGAAGACAGCAGTGGAGGGGAGTTCTCTTAGCCCTTCAGGAACTGTCAGAAGCACACATACAATTAAAAAGGGGCTAATGACACTTTATCCTAGATTTGCAAGGCTATGTAAGCTTAGAAGACCTTGTGGAAACAAAGCCTTACAAGCAGTGTCATAGGGAATGGAAGCAAATGGTTTTGGTTAGTCTTTTTTAAGAAATTCACTCCTGACACCCATCCTCTATAACATGTTTGACCACCTTTCCCTGCACATCAACACGCAGACTGTTTCCATACTGTTGGCTGGCAGGTAGGTCAGCAGGTTGGGCTGGACAACCATCCATTTCATGGGATCTTGGAGCAGCTGTAGGGAACCCCATCCTCTGCAGTACACCTTACAGAAGAGCTGAGTGTCAAAAAAGCGCAAAGGGCAAACCCTGGATCTACCTGTAAAGCGCTTTGGCTTTCCCATTAGCAGACTTTATTTTGGGATGGGGGTTGCTTTTGTTAACACCTGGGTTTAAAAGATTTGGTATCGGCTTCCAATTTATTTTATTTTATGTTTGAGCCTCTCTTCTCCTGCTCCAGCTTTCCTAGTAACAATCTCTCCTCTCTTTGCTCCTCTCCTGCTCTCTGCTCTGCTGCTGTTGCTATGGTTCCCCTTTGCAGGATGAGATCCTGGTGAGTAGAAGGCCACTCAGCAGGGTGTGCTAATGAACATTAATGTTGCATCTGGGAAGGCAAGAACAGTTCATAGACAAATTATTCCCTCTGCTGCTGAATGGGGAGAAGGGGGAAGCTGGCACTGGACTCAGGTGAAGCAGAAATTAGGTGGAAAGGTAGCATGTTGAGGAAAAATTCAGAACTGCTGGTACATCTTGTGAGTGGGTGGAGATAAAAAGCAGTAATCCAAGGATGTGTGGTTCTGTTTCGCTGCCCCCTCCTGCCCAGAGAGAGAATAGGGCTCTCTCGAGCTTAACAGTAGGCATGAGATGAAGATCCTGTGCTCCTACATTTACCTTTGTAGGATAAATTGACAATAAAGAGGATTGTGTACCTCTGTGGTAGGCTGCTCACACAGTGCAACTTGCTCGTATGCAGTGCAGTCACAAGGGTTTTTCAATGCCAGGTTGTTTTCAGCAAGCACATCCAGACAACAAGGTACACACATAATGCATGCAGATGTCTTTGGGTGTTAACATTGCAGTAATACATACATAAGCTAATGCATTTAAGCTGACATGTTACTTCCATGTGATTGATGCATGTGTGAGGCTCTAAACCAGCACTTGGTGAATTGGAGTTCCCTAGACAGTAATAGCCTGGCTTCTTTACAGACTAATCTTAAAGGAAGTTATTTTGCCCTAAATTAATATGACTGCTCAAGTACCTGGGTATGCTGAAGTACTAACTCCAGATGCACCATTTTGTTCTGTTGTAACCTAGTGTCTCCTTTTTACTAAACTCAATTCTTTTTGGGTTCTTTGCCCGTCTCTTCTTCTTGAAGTGGTTCCCCCCACCCCTGAGTTGGGTGAAGAGTTCCGCACGTGCAGTCTGCCGGAGGGTGTGCTGGTGTCCTGGTTTTCTCTAGGCATGGCCTTTTCTGGGTGTGTTGCTGTGATCTGGTGCTTGTAGGTTGTACCAGTGTCCAAGGCTTGATGCAGTTCTTCCTGCATCTCTTTCCTCTTGGCAGAGGGTATAATGCACAGCACTGCCAGGTTCCTTCCTGCGTCCTTTTTATGCTATTCCTGGCTCCTTCGAGGCAAAGAACTTGCCAGACCTGGCCAGTTGAGTTGGGGGGCTCTTCTGGCAGCAGCAGAGAGCACGGTGTTCCTTGTCTTTCCATACTACTCTGTGTGGATACCCTCTGATCTTTCCTCTGTTGCCTAAGGGACAGGCTTCTAGGGCCCTTGTTAATGCTTGCTGCTTCCACCCCCTTAGGTCATCCGGAAGGGCTGGCTCACCATCAATAACATTGGGATCATGAAGGGTGGCTCCAAGGAGTATTGGTTTGTCCTGACAGCGGAGAACCTCTCCTGGTACAAGGATGATGAGGTGAGTAGCTCAACTCTGTCACTTGAGTTTTGGGATGTATCTTCTGAGTACTTGTCTGTAGCTTGTGTCAGAAGCTGAAACTATCCTTGGGCCAGGTTCTGTGTGGTCTCAGCGCTGCTGAGTGTTTCTGAGTTGATGTGAGTGTGGCTTTTTTGATGCACAAGGAGTAACATCTGTGTCTCAAGCCCTGGCTCAGCAGAAAGTTGACAGAGACTTGGAATCAAATTGACCTTTATTTGTTTTCCTGTGGCAGCTGTGATCAAGGGTGTGATGGGTTATTTCCAAGATTTGGACTTGTTGGTATTTGTGGGGCAGCCATGATGAGTTTCCTGAAGGAGTATGGCAGAGGTTTACATGCATCTGTCCTGGTCACAAGAAAAAAGCTCTCTCCTTTCTGAGTGTAACAACAAGAGCTGTGGACCTGAAGCTGCAGCTCAGCTACTGGCTCCTTATGACACGGAGTAAATTACTTAAAATATCCAGGATTCAGTTGTTAAACCTGCAAAGCAGGAATGTCTCTTTTTGCTTATTTCTATATTGAATGTGCCAGTTAACACATAATTTGTAAAATTGCTTGGTTGTGAATGATGTACTGCTGATCAAAAGTACGGTGATGTGTGGAATATCACTGATAGGAACATGGACCCACTCTGTAGAGTTCCTTGAAAATATTGAATATTAGTAATTCTGGTGTTGTGCTGTGGTAGTTTTCTGCTTCAGTGGGAAATGATATAAGCAGACAGAATTGTCCCAGCTGAAATGATCGTTGTCAGCAGTGTGCTGCTTCCTGTGCAAGACAAAGGTAGATAATTGTTTTTTCTGATTACTTTGAAAAGAGAAAGAGTAGCTGGATGGTTTTGGTAAAGACGTAATTGACAGGGTTAGACCCACTCAATGTGCTGGGGGATGAAAAATGCCTGGCGTGATACAGTCACGCATTCCGAGTTGATCGAGGTTCCTGATGGCAAATAAAGAAACTGCTCTGCCTTTTGCTGTAGTTTGTGTCCCTCAGCTGGTCCGAGGCACACGGTAGCCACAGCAAGGCCTGGCTTCTTGTCTAGTGCATATCAGTGGGCCTGTTTCATTCTCGGCAGGTGGAAATGATGACAAATACAGTGATGAATCAGCCTCTAAATGTCACTTTCTGCATGGAGACTGCTGCTGTGCTGCTATGGATGAGCAGGCAGCAAATTCCTAATTAAAGAACCAGGCATTGAAATATCTTTTGCTAAATCGGTGTGGCTCTGCTATACGACTGCTGACCTTTTGTGTTCAGAGTTGCTGGGGGAGGCTTCACTTTCCTCTAGGCTGGGTATGCAGGTCGAGTGGTTATAAACATCAAGTAGTTTAATCAAAGCCAGCTGCTGCATCTGTACTACAGAGAGGATCAGAATTCCCTGTTCTTCCCTGGGGAGTGGGAGGGAGGGCTGCAGTGGGGATGTGTAAACTGTTGATAGATTCCAGTTGCCTGGGATGGGGTTTGGACCTCCCTTCCCTCCTCAGAGAGGGCAGCCTTGGGGGAGGTCAATAGCAACTGCAGGTCTGTACCATTTCCCTTCTGCATAGCAAGAGGTAGAGCTGCCTAATGAAAACAGCTCCCTGCCAGCTTTGGTCCCTTAAACATGGGAGAACCAGCGCTGATGAGGTCTGAGCTGCCTCTGAGAAAGGAGCCTTTGTCTTCCACTGAGTGGGAGCAGGGGGAAAAGGGAAGCATGGTTTTATTTGCTTCCTTCCCAAGTTCAGCTCCTTGATCTCTGGCTGTTATAAGGACAAGAGGCAGTAACTTCCACCTGGGCTCCTTAGTTGAGTCAGGCTAAAAGGTGATGCATTTGAGGGGCAGCTGGAGAGCCTTGAGCACCACGATTCCCATCCCAAACCTTAGTCCTGCATGGAGCTGGCTCCATCCCGAAGAGCTGTCTGCAGTGCATGGTCCTCTGTCAGACAACTACCTTTGCATGTCTGTCCCAGAGTTCTCCGTCTCCACCAGTTCAGGAGAATTTGCGTCCTCTACAGCTCCTGAAATGTTGTCATGTGGTTTTTAAAGGCGGTACACCATGATCCTTCTTCAGTGAAGCTCTGGGAGGAAGGGGGAGGCTTTGTCTGCCCCACCCTGCACTTCTGTGGGCTCTCTTGTCCCAGTTCCCCTGTGCTCTGGATGCTGTCCAGAGGGAACGAGGCAGGAGCTGAGTCCGTCTTTGTGGATAGAAGTGCTGGTGGCAGAGCTGTGGGTGATGATGGGGGAAGGAGAGGGGTGAGAAGGTGTGCGGTGGGGTCAGGGTGCAGACTGGGCTAGCTCCTCTGGGGCTGGGGGGAGTTGGGAGCACAGCTTCTCCCTCCCCTGCCTTGCAAGCCAGGACCTGGAGTGTGGAATTAAGACATCTGGACCCCATTAGTGAAATACCAGTCTTTCCGCAATGCTGGCTTGTTTTCCCTCTGCCTCTGAAGAAAGGAACTGAAACTTCATGTCTTAAAGGGCCCAGCATTACATGTTAGCAGGGGTCTATATGGCTGCTGATGCTCAGGAGGGGCCTGAAGGAGTGTGATGGGGAATGGGAGGGGAAGGAAAGAGCGGGCCAGGCGGGGGTGGAAAGTTGGCTCCCCACTCTGCCTTGCTGCCAAGAGCATGTGTGTGTGCTCCTTGGGCTCTCTGTTTTTCTTCCTGTCTCCTTTCAATGAGTCAAACACTGGCCCCATGGAGAGCGGCCCCACAGGCAGCTGGCCTCCCAAGACCTGGAGACCCTCCTGAGGTACCTGCACCTCCTGAACCCTGTGGGATTCGGTGGGAGGGAGAGGTGGGGAGGAGCGTGCTCTGGCTGTTGGCAATATAGAGTGGGACTTCCTTGCTCAGGGAGGCCACGGTGTCCCCAGAGCTGGAGCAGCAGCACAGCACACTGGCTAACTGCTCAGCAAGCGACATAGTGGACATAATAAAGGAACTTAACTTGAATAGTACTTCTGAATCCCTTATGAAATGTGGAGTGCCCACTTCTCTGCAGGGCTTTCCCACCTGCTGGAAAAGAGGGTCTGTGAGCTGGGCTAGAGCTGCTGGTGATGGGCACCTTGTAGGCGAGATGCAATGAGCACTGAGCTCAGTGCTCCCCATCACTGAACTTACTGCCAGCTGGAGGTGGCCCCTGTGCTCTCTGCTCTGCAAGGGTGACAGTTTCTGCTGGAGTGCCTGTGTGCCACTGTGTGCCGGAGTGTTCATACAGCTGGATGGATGGATATATCTGCTGTTTCCTTGGGGAATTTGTGTGACTGTACAATACAGATGGGACCTTCTGTCCTTACTCAGGTAAATCATGTACTAGAAATTTGGGGCTTGTAAGAGCAGGTGACTACATGGGAAGAATATGGCCTTATTTGCTTGTGTGAAAGTGTTGGTGTTGTGGGCAATGTCGGTGTGTTTGAGTCCTGGGTCTGTACAGGAGGGGTGGGCAGAGTGTTTCAGGTACTTCCAGGTGTGTTGGGGAGTACTTCATATTCTTTATGCATCATGTTGATTCCTGCTGCACCGGTTGTGCTTGGGCTCTTTCTTCATGTTGATACTTTCTCTTTTGCTTGAAGTACAAAGGTACTCTCTCCTGTCCTGGGAAAGATTTGACCTTGTTGACAGTCACTAGATAGCTGCTTATTCTGTACCTGTCAATGTCTTGTACCCAATTCTGGTTTAAAATTACCTTGATCAATACCAAGATTGTTCCCTCTCAACACACACACGCACTCTCCCCCCTTTACCTCCTCTCCTCCCCCCCAACAGTCTGTGTCCTTGAGGCACAGCTGAGCTGGAAGAAATCTTTGTCTTTGCTCTGATGCCCCCAAGTCATCAGAAACTTGCTGTGATGGGTCCAGCTGCTGCCAGGTTTTTGCCTCCAGCTTGTTTAAAGACCATAGGAGCAGGTCTGCTCTGAGGTTCTCCCTCTCCGGCTTTCACACCACTCTCAGGTGTGCTCTGGAACACATTTCTTCTCTTAAGTCCTCTGTAGAGAACTTTCATTCATTCATTCACTCATCTTTTTTCACAAGTACATGTTTTCTCATGGATAATATCTTAGTCTTAATTAGTTCTCATTTATGCTTTCGCTCACTGTTTCTCTTCTTTCTTTTCCAGACAAACATCAAAGCAAACACAACTTCCAGAGTATCCAAACCTGCAACTCTCAATCCTTTGTAGGTTTTTCTTTATATTAATGACCAGCATTCTTTATGATGTGAAACCTCCTTCCTCCAGTCACCTTTCTCTGCTTGATCCTGCCTTCTCAGGTAGCAAAGCACAGTGCAGCTGTAACTCCACCAGGCCCGTGTGTCTATATCTACATTTTATGGCAAAGTTTAGCATGTGAAACACAAGCCACCCTGAGCACAGCTACCCCTGGGATAAGTGCATGATGCTGAAAGAAATAAGAGGGGGATGACAGAGATGGAGGAGGAATAAGGGGGTTGTGAACAGGCTGATGAACAGGCAGATAAAAGTCATCATCAAGCATGGCTCCAAAGGGTTATATCCTCACAGGCTGAGGCATGAGTGAACTTTGCATGCAGCTATCCCCACAGCCCACCCTCTCCAAGCATGTCCCTCTGCCGTGCAGGTGTTGCCGTCCCCGTGCAGCACTGGCAGTGTGTGGTGTATCCCAGCACAGCCTAACCAATGTGCAGACTACTGTACAATCTCGTAGTCCTGAACAGGTAGTCTGAACACTGGGCAGACGGAGTGGAGCCTCTGCGATCTGCTCTCCGGCTATCAGCAGCTCCTTAGTCCTTTCCCCCTTCCTGCTTTTGGGATGGGGATTGGGGGGCAGAGATGGGGTGAAAGAAAGTCCAAGTCCTGATTTGAAGAAACATCCTCCTCTGGCAGCCGGAAAGAAGAAATGTTGCTCTCTGCATGTTTCCAGTTTGGAGCAAGCTTCCAAGATCCTTTCTCTTCCAGTGCTGGTATCAGGCTGGTACCTGGTTTCCACCTGGGGTATGCTGTACCTTTTTGGAAAGAGAGGGGGGAAAAA